CCGCCCGTGCCCGCCCCGCCGCCGGCTCACCTCGGCCACGCGGCCGTGGGCCAGCACGGAGATGAGGTGCGCGCCGCGGATGGTGCTGAGGCGGTGCGCGATCAGCAGCACGGTGCGGCCGCGGGCCGCCCGCTCCAGCGCAGCCTGCACGGCGCGCTCGGCCTGCGCGTCCAGCGCGCTCGTGGCTTCGTCCAGGATCAGCACGGCCGGGTCCTTCAGCAGCGCACGGGCGATGGCGATGCGCTGCTTCTGCCCCCCGGACAGCGCCGTGCCGCGCTCGCCTGCGGGACACCGCGGGGACACCGCGGGGACACCGTGTGCTGCGCCATCCCAGGGACAACCCCACCCAGAGCCAGGGAATCCCCAGAATGTCCGTGCCACAGCAGCCCGGGGAAGCCGCCCCAGCCCAGCCCGCAGCCGAGGAGCTGCCGCACCCGAGCCCACCCCTCCTGCTCGGAGCCCAGAGCTGAGCGTCAGCGGTGACCAGCGGCCGCTGTCCCTGCAGCACTGGGATCCCCTCAGCTGGGGTCCCACGCCTGCCGGACCCCTCCCACCCTGGCCATACCCACGACGGTGTCGTAGCCCTGGGGGAAGCTGCGGATGAAGCCGTCAGCGTTGGCGAGCCGGGCGGCCTCGTACACCTCGGCGTCAGAGGCTCCCGGCTTCCCGAAGCGGATGTTCTCCATGATGGTGGTGCCAAACAGCACCGGCTCCTGCAGCAAAACCCCGGCCCTCCTCAGCGCTGAGCCCCAGCCGGGCTGTCCCCGTCCCCAGGGACAGCCGGGGGGCCCGGCCGGCATCAGCCCTGTCCCCACCTGGCTGATGAAGCCGATGACCTGCCCCCGCAGCCAGGAGGGGTCCAGGCTGGCGATGTCGTGCCCGTCCAGGGTGATGGTTCCTGCCGTGGGCTCATAGAACCGCTCCAGCAGCGCTGCCACCGTTGACTTCCCTGCGGAGGGGACCCCTGAGCCCCCCTGCTCCGGACCCCTGGCTCCAGCAGCAATTTGGGGTTCCCAGTCCCTGACATCCACTGGGCGCCCTGGGCAGAGGAGTGGGGCGCAGGAGGATGCACCCAGGGAGAGGGTGGGGGCACTGGTACCTCCTCCGGAGGGGCCCACGATGGCCACGGTCTGGCAGGGGGGCAGGGTGAGGCTGAAGTCCTTTAGGACAGGGTAGCCAGGCCGGGTGGGATAACTGCAGGGAGAGGAGCAGGGGCTGCAGGGCTGGGGGGACGTGGTGCCAATCCCCCGTCCTTGGGGTGGCTCAGGGGGCCATGGGGGGACAGGCAGGGGCCTGGTGGGACCCACCTGAAGGAGACGTGGTTGAAGCAGATGCGGCCACGCAGAGAGTGGGCAGGGATGGAGGCTCCTCCCTGCAGTGGCACGGGGGGCTCCAGTCTCAGCAGCTCGAAGACACGGGCACCAGCACTCAGACCCCGCACCGCCTGTGGGGGGACAGCAGGAGCACCTCATGGCCCCCCAGACCCCACCTCACCCACAGAAAAGGTGGTGAAAGCGGCCCCAGAGCCCCAAACCCGAGTCCCCAGCCTCAGGGGGTGCCAGGATCCCTCACCCCACCTACCTGGCCCATCAGGATGGAGATGCTGGCCAAGGACCTGGGATGCACAAGGGCAGAGATTGAGCTCAGGGCTGTGCCCGGGCAGGCTGTGGGGTACAGGGGTGCCAGGGGTACAGGGGGTATCATTGGGTCCTGCCCTGACCTTTGCACTGTCTGTGAGGCCACCAGGAAGGACATGAGGTCACCAGGCGAGAGCTGGTCTCCAGCCATCAGGGAGCCACCGACGAAGATGGTTCCCAGGACGATGCCTGCGGGGTGGGGGCAGAGCTGGGATTTCAATGGGACGTGCAGAAGGGGCGTTTGGAGGAGGTCCTGCCCAAGGGAGTCCCACCCCACAGCCCCCCAGGTCCCGCTCTGTGGCCCCTGTTCTGCTCACCATTGAGCGCCAGGTTGGAGAGTCCCTGGAAGGCGGCGATGCCGAGTCCCAGCCGCTCGCTCAGATGTCCGGCACGGTCCACCTCGGCACGGAACAGCCTGAGGCAGGGATGGGCTGGGGTCCCTCTGCCGCACGCCCACCACCCCCCAAGCTCTGCCCTTCCCCTTACCCTGCCTGCTGCTCCTCCATGGCAAAGGCGCGCACCGTCCGCACGTTGCCCAGCGCCTCGTCGGCCACCACGGTGGCCTTGGCCACCTGCAGGATAGGGGGGACAGCGGTGGAGACACCCCACTGCGGCTGGGGCTGGCGGGACAGGGGCTCTCAGTGAGGGTTACCTGCTCCTGTGCCTGGCGGGAGAGGCTGCGGAGGAAGGCGCCGATGAAGGCGCCGGCGCCCACCAGCGCGGGCAGCGCCACGAGCAGCAGCCCCGTGAGCTTGGGCGAGAGCAGGTACAGCGACACGAAGCAGCCGACGGTCTGGGTGCCGCTGCGCAGGCCCTGGGGGGGACACAGCGGCTGGGGGGACCACCGGGCTTACCCAGGAGACAGCCGAGCGCAGGCGGGAGAGGGCCGGGCTCACCTGCGAGATGGCCAGCTTGAAGGAAGACTTGAACTCCTGGATGTCGGCCGTCAGCCGCGCCACCAGCTGCCCCGTGCGCGTGGCATCGAAGAAGGCCACCTCCTGCCTGCCGGGGGAGCGGTGGGTGGGCGTCCCTGGGCACCCGTGGCTCCCGTGCCCCATCCCCGCGGGTTACCTGAGCAGGGCGCTGAAGAGCGCCTTGCGCATGTTGCCGGCCACCCGCTCGCCGACGCGGGCCAGCAGCGCGATGTACCCGAAGGTCAGCAGGCCCTGCGGGGCGGGGGGGTCAGGAGGGCCGGGGGCACCCCCGGGACCCCCCACCCACCCTTTCGGGGGGTCGGCACGCACCTGCAGGCAGTAGATGGCGAGGAGGCGCAGGGCCGGGCGCCGCACCTCCCGCAGGTACGCGGGGACGTGGCCGCGGGCACATCGCGCCACCACGTCCACCAGCTGGCCCAGCAGCACCGGGATGCGCACGTTGAGCAGGGCCGCGCCCAGCGCCAGCTGCGCGACAGGGACAGGGCTGTCACCGACTGCGACAGCGGCAGGGGCTGCCAGGCCATCGTACCGGGACAGCGGGCGGCTGGCACAGCACCGGGACAGCGGGTGTCACACCGTGGCAACAGACAGTGGCTGTCTCGTGTCAGCACTGGGACAGCGGGTGTCACACCACGGCACTGGGACAGTGGGTGTCATGCCATAGCATTGAGACAGCAGGTGTCACACCGTGGCACTAGGACAGTGGCTGTCACGCCATGGCACCAGACAGTGGCTGTCTCGTGTCAGCACTGGTTAGTGGCTGTCACACTGTACCACTGGGACAGCAGATGTCACACAACAGTGGGTACCAGGATGGTGGCTGTTACGCAATGGCACCAGGACTGTGGCTGCCACACCCTCAGCAGGGACCATGGCCATCATACTGTGGCACTAGGACGGTGACAGCCAGTGACAGTTGCTGGGATGGCAGGTGCCACACCATGTCAGTGGGACAGTGGCCACCGTGCTGTGGCACCGGCACAGGGCGTTACCCCACGGCACTGGTGTGACACAGGGACAGGGGGACAAGGGCGGCCACTCGGCCCTGCTCACCACAACGGCAGCTGAGAGCGCCAGGAGCTGCGGGCGCAGGAAGGTCCAGAAGAGTGGCCAGTCAAAGGGGGTCTCCGGGGGGGGCTCGGGCGGCTCGGGAGCGGCAGGGGGGACAGCGGCAGGGACAGTGGCCTCCTGGCAGCGCGCAGCCGTGCGCAGCAGCCCCAGCACCACGCAGCCCGTGGCCGAGCCCACCACGAGCAGGCGGCGCGGGGCCGGGAGCGCTGCGGGCAGCCGGGGGGGCCCGGCCAGCCCCAGGCGCCCCCCATACCTGAAACTGGGGAGAGGGGTGCGTGAGGTGACCCTGGGGGTGGGTGACCCTGGGGGAGCCCCCGCGGATCACCCCAGGAATTCAGAATCCCGCCTCCCCCCACCAGGAGCTGCGTTCCTGCCTCCAGGGGAGCCGGGATCCCCCCGCACCGCCCGCAGCCCCGGAGCGCTGGCTCCCCCCACCAGAGCCGGGGTGCCCCCGCACCCAAGGGGCCCGCGGGTCTGGGAACCCCCCGGACACCGCGGGGCTGCCGAGGCCGAGCTCCCCACACCGCACCGCACCACAAGTGCAGTCGTCCCCCCGGGGCTCCCCAAAACCTGCCCACGAGTTGCCCCCGCCCTGCCTCCCGTCCCGCGGCTCCGGGAAGCCCACGTACCCCTCCACCTCCCGGGAGCCCCGGCTGCCCCGCGGTCCCCCCGCAGGGTGTCCGGGGGCCCCAGCGAGTTCCCGGGACCCCTGGCTGCCCCGCAGCCCCACTCGCACCCCCGGGACCCCCGCGACCACCGAGTCGGGGCTCCTCCCAGCAGGAGTTCCGCGGCCCAAGGGCCCCGAGGGTCCGGGATGCTCCCGGGACGCGCTGCACTCCCCCGGTACCTGCGGCCCGGGACGGAGGGCGGCCGGAGCCGGGCCCAAGCGCCCGCTGCCCGCAGCAAGAGCACCGGCAGCGGCATGGCGGCTCCGGGCGGGGCGGCACCGGGGGCGGCACCGGGGGCGGCACGGGGCGGGACCGGGGCGGGACCGGGGCGGGACCGGGGCGGGACCGGGGCGGGAGGAGCCCCAGCACCGCGGCCCGGGCCCTGCGCCGGCCCCGACCCGTACCGGCCCCTCCGCGGCGCCTCCGGCCCTTCCGGGACTCCGCGCCCCGACCCCGCCGATCCCCGCTCCCGCCGCCCCCGCTGCTCCCGGGGCCCCTCCGGACCCCCGGACCCGCAGCGGAGCCCCGCGGCGGAGCTCCGAGCGCGCACCGGCACCCCGACCCCGCCGCTGCCCGGGGCTGCCGCCGGTGCGGCCATGGCCGGCGGCGGGGCCCGGGGCGGCCGTGCGGCCCCTTGAGCGCCGGCACCGGCGGGGACCGGCCGGCACCGAGCGGCCAGGTGAGCGGGGACGGGGCAGCGGGTGCCGGGGGTGGCGGAGCCCCGCTGTCCCGGAGCGGGTCACGCCGCTCCTTTCCGGGGTCCCTCAGCCCGGCCGCTGCCCCGGGACCCCCGGGACCCCCGGGACCCCCGGGCGGGTGTGACCGCTGCCGCCGTGGGGTGCCCGGTCCCCACGTGTGGTCCCGGGTCACTCGCGGGGGTCACTGCCGAGCCCCGTCCGTGTTTTTACGGCGCAGCCGTGTGTCACATGTGTCACCACCGGGGCTCGTGTCACCACGGCGGTGTCACCCTGCCGTGTCCCCACGGGCAGGTGTCCGTGTCCCCGTGCGGAGTGGCGGTGACACAGGTGACGCCGCGGAAACACACGTGTGTCCCGGCAGGGTCACCGGGGCCACTGCCGGGGGCCGCTGTGTCCCTCGGGTGCCACGTCCCCTGGGCTCTGTCCCTGGCCCCGGGGGTGTCCCGGCTGCCCGGCCCGGGGATCCCCCGGCCCCCCCACCCTTTACCCTCTCGGGCTATTTTCGGGCTCCGCGGGTATTTTTGGCTTCCCGATGCGGAGCTGGTTGGGGACGGGCCGTGCCGGTGTCACCCGCCGGGACACCCGATCCCGGGGGATGCGGCCGCTGTCCCCAAGGGGGAGTTGCACAACCGGGGTTGGGTCCCCCTGGCTGCATCAGCCCCGCGCCGTGAGTCAGCCCCGGACAGGTGGGGCCGGACGGCGTCACCTGCGGCCACCGGCCTGGCCGGACACCGGCTGTGGCCACCGCGGGGGACGCTGGTGCCGCGCGGCGCTGCGGGGCGGCGGTAAGGGGACCGTGAGGGGGTGAACGGGGGGTCCCGTCCTGCCCCAATGGCGGGGGTCCCATCCTTCCCCAGGGTGCGATGGTCCCTTCCAAGGGTTTGGGGTCCCTTCCAAGAGTTTTGGGTCCCGTCCTCCCCTGTGGGGGGTTGTCCTCCTGCCGCAAGGTCCGGGGTCCTGCCCTGCCCCAGAGCCTGGGGGGGTCCGGTCCTTCCCCGGGCCGGGGTCCGCAAGGCATGGAGAGACCACCAGGGCTCAGGACTGGTCCTGAGCTGCTCCCGCTCTGGGCTCTCCCCTGGCTCCGGGGATGGTGTGTCCGTGGCGAGTGGGGTCTGCGGGGTGTCTGTGGGTACAGGAGTCCATGGCGAGGGGTGCTCTGTGGGGCGGAAGGCTGTGGGGGGCTGTGGACGCAGGGGTCCGTGGGGAGAGGCGTCCCCCCACTCAGGCCGGGCAGCACAGCACGGCCCGGGGGATGGCTGGGGGAAGTATTGGGGTCCCTCGGAGCTTTCAGGGGGTCCGTCCCGGGGAGCCCTGCGGGGTCAGGACAGGCTCTGGCACCGGCCTGGCCGGTGGGACAGGACGGGCCGGTGGCACCTGCGGTGTCACCTGCGGTGTCACCTGCCCGCGGCCGGGGCCAGCTCAGGCCACCCGAATTCGGGGCACGCGGGCGGCGCTGCGGCACCCCAGTGGCATTTCCGGCGCCCCACACCTGCCCCCGACCCCTTCCGCCCCACACCTGCCCCATGGCGGCCCCAGGGCGGCGGCGGGTGCTCACGTTCCCCGGCAGGTGATGGCGGAGCAGGGAGAGGAGGACCGGGAGTACCGGCAGTACCGGCGGCTGGAGGATTGTGAGGAGGACTCGCCCCCCGGCGAGGAGGAGGAGGAGCAGCTGCTGCTGCACGTCACTGAAGGACCGACAGGTACTGGGGTCCCGTCTGGCGGCGGATTCGGGGTCCCACGGGCTCTTGGGGGACCCCAGGTGCTGTTTCTGGGTCCTGGGTGGGGCGCGGGGGTCCCACGGGGGGGTGGTACCACACCTTACCTGCCGTGTTTTTCCCCCCAGACTCGTGGCACCACGTTAAGGACCTGGACAGTTTCTTCACCAAGATATCCTGGCACAGCCCCTGGTGGCACGGTGGGGGGCATGGGGGAGCGTGGGGTGATTCCGGGGATGGGGGGGGACATGGGGGATCCGTCACCCCTTCACAGTCTCCTTAACGCCCCCACACATCTACCAGTTCCACCAGAGGAATGGCTTTGCCTGCGTCCTGCTCTCGGACGTGCTCGAGCTGCTGTAAGTGATGCCACGTTGTCACCGTGCGGTGCCACGCGCCTGTGACACCGGGGTCCCACTGAGCCCCGTCCCCCCAGGCAGTTCCTGTTCGTCGTCACCTTCAGCACGTTCCTGCTGTGCTGCGTGGACTACGACGTCCTGTTCGCCACGCGCCCGCTCAACCACAGCCACGTCCCCGAGCGCGCCAAGGTGACGCTGCCCGACGCCGTGCTGCCCGCCCCGCAGTGCGCCCGCAGGTGGGCAGGGCACGCTGGGGGACGCTGGGGGCGTTCTCAGTGCTGTGGGTGACACTGGGGTCCAAGTGGTGTGGGTGGCACACGTGTCCCCACAGGGTCAGTGGCGGCGGGTGGCTGCTGCTCCCGCTGCTGCCTGCGTGGCCGAGCAGAGGTCCCAGTGCCACCAGCGTGGCTTTGTGGGGTCAGGTGCCACTGGTGTGGCTGCGTGGGGTCCTGGTGCTGCGGGTGATGTGTCCCCAGCAGTCTCTGAGACTGCAGACGGCTGTGAGGCGGTTGGTGGCACTGGTGACACCTGTGTTTCTGCGGGCTTGGTGGCGGTGGGTGGCTGCTGCCTGTGAAGGGTTTGGTGGCCCTGCTGGCACTTGTGTCCCCACAGGCCTTGTGTCAGCAAGTGGCTTCTGGTTTGGCTGGCACTGGTGTGGCTGTGGCACCGGTGGCACCTGTGTCTTCTTAGCAGGCTCTGTGGCACTGGTTGGCAGGTGGCCACAGGGGGCCTGGTGGCACTGGTGACACCCGTGTCCCCGCAGGCTCCGTGGCAGCGGGTGGCTGCTGTTCCTGCTGGTGCTGGCAGGCGCGGTCTGGCTGTGCCGCCTGGTCACGGCGCTCCGGCGCCTCGTGGGCTACTGGGAGATCCGGAGCTTCTACATCCGCGCGCTCGGCATCCCGGCGGTGAGGGGGGCTGGGGGCCGCTGGGGGGGCCGGGGGCCGGGGTCTGGGCTGGGCCGCAGGGCGCCGGGCCACGCCAAGCGACACCGGCACGGTGCCGTGGGTGCCCGGTGCTGATGGCTGTGCCGTTGCCGCAGGAGGAGCTGTGTAACCACAGCTGGCAGTCGGTGCAGGCCCGGCTGCTGGCCCTGCAGCGGCGCCAGCCCCTGTGCGTGCCGCGCCGGGAGCTGACGGAGCTCGACATCCACCACCGCATCCTGCGCTTCCGCAACTACACCGTGGCCATGGTCAACAAGTCCCTGCTGCCCGTGCGCTTCCGCCTGCCGCTGCTGGGCCCCGTGGTCTTCCTCACGCGCGGGCTGCAGTTCAACCTGGAGCTGCTGCTGTTCCGCGGCCCGGCCGCGCTCTTCCAGAACACCTGGAGCCTGCGGCCGCAGGTGAAGCGGGCGGGCGCGCGGCGGGCGCTGGCGCGGGGCCTGGCGCGGGCGGCCGTGCTGCTGGGGGTGGCCAACCTGGCGCTGTGCCCCTGCGTGCTGGGCTGGCGCCTGCTGCTCGCCTTCTTCAGCTACGCCGAGGGGCTGAAGCGGGCCCCGGGCAGCCTGGGTGCGCGCCGCTGGTCGCTCTACGCGCGCCACTACCTGCGCCACTTCAACGAGCTGGGCCACGAGCTGCAGGCGCGGCTGGGCCGCGGCCACGCGCCGGCCACCAGGTACATGGACTCGTTCAGCAGCCCGCTGCTGGCCGTGCTGGCTCGCCACGTCGGCTTCTTCGCCGGCTCCGTGCTGGCCGTGCTCATCGTGCTCACCGTGTACGACGAGGACGTGCTGACGGTGCAGCACATCCTGACGGCCATCACGCTGCTGGGGCTCGTGGTCACCGTGGCCAGGTGGGTGCTGGAGTGGTGGTCGCGGTGCCGGGTGGGTGGGCCGGACTGTTGTGCCACGCTGGGCCGGGCGGGCAGCGGGGGGCTAAGGTGGGACCCCGCCCGTGCCCCTCCAGGTCCTTCATCCCGGACGAGCACGCGGTGTGGTGCCCGGAGCAGCTGCTGCAGCGGGTCCTGGCACACGTCCATTACCTGCCCGAGCACTGGCAGGGCCGCGCTGGCCGTGCCGAGACACGAGCAGAGATGGCGCAGCTCTTCCAGTACAAGGCGGTGGGTGCGGGCCCCCACTGCCCGAGACCCTCCTCCCCAGCCTCCCAGTGCCCTGGGACCATCTTCTTCTCCCCAGCCCCAGCACCCCGCAGACTGGGAGCCCCCCATCCTGGGACTTCCCAGCCCTGGCACCCCCCACCTCAGGATCCCCAGCCTGGACCCTTCAACACTGGGACCCTCTGCTCCAAGACCCCATTGCCCTGGGACTCCCTGTCCTGATTCCCTGCCCCGGGACCCCCACACTGGGACCCCCCTGCACCAGGGCTCCCCACTCTTGAGGCACCCCCATCCCAGGAGCCTCCTGCTTCGGAATCCCCCACGCTGGGACCCCTTCCCCCTGGGCAGCCCTGCCAAGGACTCCCCCTCCTCAGGACCTACTGCCCTGATAGCCCCACCCTGGGCATCCCACCCCAGGGCTTCCAAACCTGGCACCTCTGCCCCGGGGCACCCCCAGATCCCACTGCCCCCCCCGCAGGTTTTCATCCTGGAGGAGCTGCTGAGCCCCCTGGTGACGCCCCTGATCCTCATCTTCGCCTTTCCCCCCCGCGCCCTCGACATCGTGGACTTCTTCCGCAACTTCACGGTGGAGGTGGCGGGGGTGGGCGACATCTGCTCCTTCGCGCAGCTGGACGTGCGGCACCACGGCAACCCGCAGGTGGGGCCGGGGGCGCGGGGTGCGGCGTTCGGGGGCCGCGTGTCCCCGCGGGGCTGTGCCACGTCCCTGTCCCGCAGTGGCTGTCGGAGGGGCACACGGAGGCGCCCCCGGAGCGCCAGGCGGAGCACGGCAAGACGGAGCTGTCGCTGATGCGCTTCGCCCTGAGCAACCCCCGGTGGCGGCCGCCGCCGCCCGCCCGCCGCTTCCTCGGCCACCTCCAGGCGCAGGTGACCCGGGACGCGGCGGCCGCGCCCGCCCCGCGGCCCCGGAGCGCCGAGGGGCCGCTGGCCGCGTCCCTGCTGTCCGAGGACTCGGCGCTGGCGGTGAGTGGGGGCGCGCCGGGGGCGCTGCGGGGTGTTTGGGGTCTCCCCTGACGAGTGTCCCCTCAGCCCGAGGCGCTGGTGACCAGTGTCTGGGCGGCCAGCGGGCTGGTGGCCCGGGACCCGCGCTTCGGGCAGCCCTGCGGCACGGCCAGCGCCACCGCCAGCCTGCTGGCCTCGCTGCGGGGGACACCGCTGGGGACACCGCCCGGCCCGGCCCCCGACAGCCCTGCGGAGCCGCACTGCCCCGAGGACAGGTGGGGACAAGGGACAGGGGCGTGAGGGGGACACGGGGCATGGGGGGGCGTGGGGAGCGGGGACAGGGCTGGGAAGGGTGTCGGGGCTGCCAGGGTGTCACTGAGGGGCTGTCGTGGTGGGCAGGAGCGTTGTGCTGGGGATGGGGGACAGGGCGGGTGTCACGGCAGGGAGGGGGTGTCACGGTGGGAAGGGGTGGCAGGGAGGGGTGTCACAGCGAGGAGGGGTGGCAGGGAAGGGTGTCACAGCAAGGAGGGGTGGCAGGAAGGGGTGTCGTGGCAGGGAGGGGTGTCACAGTGGGAAGGGGTGGCAGGGAAGGGGTGCCGTGGCAGGGAAGGGGTGTCACAGCGAGGAGGGGGTGCTGTGGCGGGGCTGTCACCGCCTGCCGCCCCTCCCGTGCCCCAAGGCCGGCGCTGAGTGAGTCGCGGCTGCGCAGCCTGAGCCGCTCGGCGCTGCTGGCCGAGGTGGCCTCCGCCGAGATGAGCCTTCACGCCATCTACCTGCACCAGGTGCGTCACCCGCCGTTCCCGGGGTCCCCCTGCCCACAGCACCCCGGGGCACAGGTCCCCTGGGGTTCCCCGGTGTCTCTCACCGGTGTCACTGTCTGCGTGCTCTGCCTCAGCCCCGGGAGCCCTGCCTGGCCCTGGTCTCTTGTCCCCTGTCCCTTGTCCCCAGAGCCATTCCAGCGGCCCCTACCCTCCCTGAGCTGCTGGGTGACCCCTCTGTTCGTGGCCGCTGCCAGATGGGGTGCTGGGGATGAGGCACCACAGTTGGTGTCACCCTTATTCCCCTTCTGCCACCCCGCTGGGGCTGGGGAGTGTCCCGGGCTGAGGGACCCCTGACCTGCTGCCCCTTGGGGGTCTCGGAGTGCCAGTACTGGGGGCTCTGCCGTGCTGGGGGGCTCTGACTGCCTCTGGGGGTGTTGTGGGCGCTAATCGGGGCTCTCTGCTGTTCCCTGACCCCTCTGCCCCCCAGCTCCACCAGCAGCAGCAGCAGCAGCCGCAGGGGCCCAGCCCGCAGCCCGCGGGGGCACCCAAACACCCCTTCGTGCCCACAGGTGAGCACCGGCCCGTGGGGTGTCCCGGGGGGCACTGCTGACACCCCCCACACCGCGGGGCTGAGCCCGGAGCCGGGCGGGGGGTCCTGGAGGTCCTGACCGCCCTGTGCCCCCCAGGCTCGGCTGCCCGCGCCTCGCAGCTGCGGGAGATGCCGCTGGGCGGGTGGGCCGAGGAGGAAGAGGAGGAGGAAGAGGAGACGATGACGTAGCCGGGCCTGGCGCCGGTGGGTGGGGACGGGGGGAGCGGGGACCCCGGGACTGGGACATGGAAAGCCCTGGGGGCGGGAGACAGAACCCCTCAGGGCTGGGGGACGTGGTGGCCCCAGGGCTGAGGCTACAGGGACTCGGGAGGGGTACACCGGGACACGGAGGGGTACGCCGGGACACGGAGGGGCTGGCACAGGGACCCCCGGGCTGGGGTTCAGTGGGGTCCGGCTGCCACGTGTGCTGGGTGCCCAGTGTTGGGGTCCCCGCTCCGGGGTCCCTGCTCTGGGGTCCCCACTCCGGGGTCCCTGCTCCGGGGTCCCTGCTCTGGGGTCCCTGCTCTGGGGTCCCCGCTCTGGGGTCCCTGCTCTGGGGTCCCTGCTGACACCCCGTTCCCTCTGCAGGGTCCTGGTTGTGCCAAGACCCCCCGGAGGTGCCGGGGGAGCCGCCAGGGGCACATGGGGGTCTCGCCGTGCCCGCTATGCTGCCAGGGGGGCCCTGTGTAGGAGCCCCCTGCTCGGGGCGTCCCTGGTGACCCCACTACCGTGCAGGGCCAGGGGTGCTGCCAGGGCGCCCCCAGGTGCTGTTTTTGGGGGGCGAGGGCTGGTGCCCCCTGTGGTGCCCCAAGCACCAGCTGAAATAAAGGTTTACAGAGGGGCTGTGCCCGCTGGTGTGCCTGGGGGTGAGCTGGGGGTCCTGGGGGGGCAGTTTGGGGTGACACCGGGGTTGTGGGCAGGTGGCAGCGGTGGTGCTGGCAGCGGGTGCAGTCCCCTGCAGCCACACGGGTGGGAGCCACAGCCCTCCCACCATTTCCCACCCCTCAGAGCCACAGGAGCGTGGCCGCCTCCCTTTGCCCCCCATTTCCCACCCCTCGTGGCTGGAGGGTCACCCAGAGGTGTCACAAAGCCCACCCTTCCCTGTGCCACCTCCCGCGCCCCGGTGCCACCGTAGGAGCCGAAGTGTCGGGCCGGGGGTATCAAAACTAAACCTTTACTGGGGGCGGCGGGCCGGGGGCACAGCCACGGGACTCCCTGTGCCCCGTCCCCGCTCAGGGCGCGGGGCCCGGCGGGCGCCGCTCCTGCAGGGAGAAGGACTGGCTGCGGATGCGCAGGGCCACCTCCTGCGTGCGGAACGTCAGCCCGAAGATGTCCTCGTGGTAGCGGTTCTTGTCCTGCGGGACACGAGTCAGGGCCGGGCGCGGCCGCGGTGCCCGCGGGTGTGTCCCCCGTGCTGTCCCGGGTCTGGCCCTTACCCTCAGCTCGCTGATGACGTCCCCCGCCTGCCCCAGCGTCATGCCGCCCTCCTGGGCCAGGATGTGCTGCACAGTCTGCAGCACCTCGGTGGCCATGGTGACGTCCCCGCACACGTACATGTGGCCCCCGCGCTGGCAGAGCACCTGGTGCACCTCGGCCGCCAGCTGTGCCCGCAGCACGTCCTGCACGTACGTCTGGGGACACACGGGCCCTTGGCACCCAGCACGCACCCAGCCTGTCCCCAGGTCCCCATCCCCGCCCTGACCCTTTGTGTGCTGTCCCCGTCCTTGTCTGTGTCCGTGTCCCAGCCCCTCACCCCCATCTGTGTCCCCCCGCAATCCCTGCCCCCTTCACTCCCATCTCACCTTGTCCCTGTCCCAGCTCCGTGCCCGTCCCAGCCTGTCCCCGTTCCGTGCCCATCCCCGTCCCCACCGCTGTCCCCGCTGTCCCCGCTGTCCCACCTTGGGGCTGCCGGGCTGGCGGGAGAAGGCCGTGAGCACCTGGCTGAGGGCGCCCTGCTGCCGCGCCTCCTCCATCTCCTCGCGGTAAATGTGGTCCAGGGCGGACGAGCGGCACCCGAACACCAGCACCATGGGGCCCAGGGGGCCACCTGCGGGGGGACAGTGTCCTCGTGTCCCCACAGCCCGTGTCCCTACAGCCCCACGCAGCCCTGTTCTGCAGCGCCCCTGTCCCCACATCCCCAGTCTCCAGCGCCTTCCCCATGTCCCCAACCCCTTCATCACTGTCGCCATGTCTCTTGTCCTACATCCCAGTGCCACCGTGTTCTTGTGTGCCCATGTGCCCATGTCCCCCACCTCTCTGCATCCCTCCCCTCCCTCCCCTCCCTCCCCTCCCACCCATCCCCTGTCTCCATCCCCACGTCCTCCCAACCACCTGTCCCCCCATTCCCGTGTCACTATTTCTCCATCCCCTTCTCCCTGCCCCCCTATGGCCCCTGTACCCTGCCCCCAGCCCCCCATGTCCCCATGTCCCCATGCCCCCAGTGTCCCCCATATCCCCATGTCCCCCATGTCCCCATGTCCCCCATGTCCCCGTGTCCCCGTGTCCCCCATGTCCCCATGTCCCCATGTCCCCATGTCCCCCATGTCCCCATGTCCCCCATGTCCCCCCATGTTCCCATGTCCTCGTGTCCCCCATGTCCCCCATGTCCCCCATGTCCCCCGTGTCCCCCATGTTCCCATGTCCCCCATGTCCCCATGTCCCCCATGTCCCCCATGTCTCCATGTCCCCATGTCTCCATGTCCCCATGTCCCCGTGTCCCCCCTGTCCCCATGTCCCCATGTCCCCCCATGTCCCCCTATCCCCAAGTCCCCATGTCCCCCATGTCCCCGTGTCCCCCATGTCCCCCATGTCCCCCATGTCCCCATGTCCCCCATGTCCCCCGTGTCCCCATGTCCCCATGTCCCCGTGTCCCTGTCACCCATGTCCCCGTGTCCCCGTGTCCCTGTCCCCACCTCCGGTGCGCAGCAGGTGCAGCCGGTGCTGCCAGAAGCTGCGGAAGGGCGCGACGCCGGTGCCGGGGCCCACGAGGATGCAGGGGGTGTCGGGGGCGGGCGGCAGCCGGAACGAGGGGGCCCTGCAGAGTCGGGGGTCACCGGGGGGGCAGGGGACATGTAGGGGAGCACTGAGGGGACAGGGAAGGCGGGCAGGGGACACGCGGCGGGACGGCGATCCCTCACCCCCGGATGAAGGCCGGCACTGTGTCCCCCGGCTGCAGCCGCGCCAGCCACGTGGAGCAGACGCCGTAGTGGAGGGGACCCTGCCCGTCTGTGGGGAGCAGAGGGGGCCGGTGGGGCTGGGGCGGGTGGCACCCCAGAGACAGCCCAGCCCCTCCAGAGCCCCCCGCAGGGGCTGGGGGCTCCTCCGTGCCCAGGCCGGGCGTTTGGAGAGGCTCTGGGGACACTGGAGATGTTCTGGACACCCTGGGGATGAGCTGGAGGCACCCTGGAGCCCCGGGGATGCCCCGGAGGTGCCCACCGCCCGTCCCCATCCCCGCTCACTCTCGCTGTGGTAGGTGACGACGGCCACGGTGAGGTGGATCTCGCCCGGGTGGGCGCCGGGCGCGGAGCTGATGGAGTAGTAGCGGGGCTGGAGCAGCGGGAGCTGCGAGAGCAGCAGCGCGGCCGGCAGAGCCACGGACGGGAACTCGGCCAGCACCTCCGGCAGCGTCGGGCACCGGAACCACTTCCACTCCTCGTACAGCCGCGCGTCCTGCGGGCACGGGGCTGGCACAGCGGGGACCCGCACCCGGCCCCCGGGACCCCCAGTGCCGGGCAGCAGCCCGAGGGGAGCAGCACCCAGCCCGGCGTGGGGAGCAGCGCCCCGGTATCCCGACTGCGGGGTAACCGCATCCCGGTGTCCCGACTGCGGGGTAACCGCATCCCGGTGTCCCAGCCGGAGGGGGGAGTCGGCAGCCCGGTACCCCAGCCCCCCCAGCGCCCCCAGCCCCCCCAGCCCCCCCAGCCCCCCAGCCCCTCACCTGCGCCAGGCGCTGGAGCCGCTCCTGCTCCGCGGGGTCCCGCGCCAGCGAGCCCAGGAGCTGCAGGAACTGCGGGCTCGGGGGCGCCGCCACGTCCAGGTAGAAGGTGAGGGCCTGGGCCAGGGTGCAGGGGGGCAGCCGGGGCTGCAGCACCCAGCGGGGCCCGGGGCTGGGCCCGCCTGGGGACGGGGGGATTGTGGCGCTCAGTTCTGTCCCGCATCCTTCCCGAGGCCCTTCCTCTTTTCCTTCTTCCTCCCACGCCCCAGGCGCTAACCCCTTTGTCCTCCTCTTCCTCGGTCCCTTCCCATTCCTTTTCCCAGCCCCTTCCTCTCACTTCTCCTACCCCAATTTCTCCCCTTTCCCCTTTGTCTTCCCAAACCCCAGCCCCTCCCCATCTTCCCGCGGTCCATAACGGCGGGACCCGCTCCTGTTCCCCTCCGGTACCGGTGAAGTCTCCACTACCCCACTGTTATTGGGTTCCCCCCAATCCTCCCGTGCCCCCCAATCCCCCCGTGTCCCCCGTACCGGCGGGGTTCCCCAATCCCCGCGTGTCCCCCAGTCCCCCGTGTCCCCCCCATTCCCCGTGTCCCCAAATGCCCCCGTGTCCCCCAATCCCCCGTGTCCCCCGTACCAGCGGGGTTCCCCAATCCCCCCGTGTCCCCTAATCCCCCATGTCTCCCCGTACCGGCGGGGTTCCCCAATCCCCCCGTGTCCCCCAATCCCCCGTGTCCCCCAATCCCCCGTGTCCCCCAATCCCCCCGTGTCCCCCCCATCCCCCGTGTCCCCCAATCCCCCGTGTCCCCCGTATCGGCGGGGTTCCCCAATCCCCCCGTGTCCCCCCTATTCCCCGTGTCCCCCAGTCCCCCGTGTCCCCAATCCCCCGTGTCCCCCGTACCGGCGGGGTCCCCGTCGCGGCTCTCCAGCGCCAGGGGCTGCTCGGGGGGTGGGGGATCCTCCACGCGCTGCAGGACGTCCCGCACCAGCTCCGGGCGGTTGGCGGGGAACACGCCCAGGTGGTCCCCGGGCAGGTGGCGCAGCCCGCCCTGCCCCGCGCAGCCCACCCGCAGCAGCAGCGTCTGCCGGCTGGGGCAGGGGGTCAGCGGGGCGTGGGGCGGACACGGGGAACGCGGCCCCGGGGGTCCCGGCAGTGGGGGCGTCCCGCGGATGTGGGGAGTGGAGGGGGACGGGAGATGCGGGGGTGGGGATCCCTGTGCGGGAGGTCTCACCTGGACTCCTCACTCTGCAGGTTCTCCACGGACAGCACCGGGCAGGGGAACACCTGGCGCTTGTGCAGCTGGGACAGTCCTGGGGGGCGCGGGGGGGACATGGGGGAGTGGGGGCATGGCACGCGTGGGAAGGTGCCGAGGACTGGGGGACACGCGAGACTGGCGGTCACGGGGGGTGAGGAGGGCATGGGGAGGTTGGGGACACGGGGGGACACGAGGGGACACAGGGGTACAGGTGGGGACTGGAGGGACCCGAAGGTGATGAGGGGACACGGAGGGGCTGGGGAGGAACGGGGGTTTGGGGGCATGGGGGGGCAGGGGGGCTGGGGGAACCAAAGGGTCTTGGGAGGTCCTGAGGGGGCTGGAGGGGTCCCGGGGGGCTGGGGGCTGACCCCACAGAGCTGTGCGGTGTGAGGGGATCCCACAGGGAGCTCGGGGGGTGCCATGGGGCGTCCCGGGAGGCCGCGGGCAGGTGTCAGTGAGGGGTGGGGGTGACACGGGGAGTCGGGGGGTCCCGCAGGGTTTGGGGGGTCCCGGAGGGGTCGGTACCGGCCAGAGTCTCGGTGGCCTGGGGCTGTGGCACCAGCCGGTGCCTGTGGCGCTTCCAGCCCTGGGGCGGGGCGAACAGCTCCTCGGCCCCCCCGGCCCCGTCCCCCACGCAGAACGTCTCGCAGGCAG